ACAGCTACCGGGCACCGAAAGGATCGAGGTCAAGGTAATCACGGACAAGAAAAGAAGTTATGGTTATAAGTTGTAACTTGTCGAAGCGCAAGCCTGTATCTCCTCCTGCTTCTGGACTCTGGCGATAACACCCAGGAGAGTGGTCGTAAATTCAAAATGCTGTTAATTGGTGAGTTCATAGAGAAACACGTGAAATGTACAATAAGCATTCACGAAACATACCTGGAAGAGATAGATGGACAGGACGGGTAATAACGTTCAAAACTGTGAGCTGAAGTCCTGGGAGGTTGAATGTGTAGACTTCCGCCTGGGCGAGGTGACCCAATTCAATGAGAATCAGGGTAGAATAATATGGGAAGGACGGGGAACTATTCTTCTTGGCTACCTCGCTCGGAGCAAATGTGTTCGATATTGGAGGGGGGGGGGAAGAGCAGTGCCGGAGAGTAACTTTCAATCAGGTGGCGAGAGTTGAAGATTTTGTAGGGAGAGTGTTTGGAAAAATGGAAAAGTTGAGAAAAAGTGAGAAGGTGCGAGGAGGAAGTACATAAGGCAGGAGGGAGGCAGGTGCAGGCAGGTGCAGGCAGGTGGCGGCCAGCTGGTGACCTATTCGCTACTTCAGCCTCAATGCAGCCGCCGAGGCCTTTGGGATGGCAAGCTCTCGGATGACAGTTGGCGGGTAGGCAGCAACTTGCTTACCTCCACTAAGGCGGTTTGTCCCTGGGCAAGCGGGCTGGAGCGGCATCAAAGTCATTCTGAATGGTCGAGTCCTGTTGTTGGTTGGTGATTGCCATGCATGTTCGTACTAGTTGGGTCTGTGGGCTAGGGTGGTTGATTCATACTGTGTGTACAGGCGGGCCTCACAAGTCCAACCATAGAGGTACCGCCATATTTCTATAGACGATCCAGAAATATTCTAGCCAATGATTTCAAAATTCCACACTTGTCTCTGCATCATCGCCAGTCTTCAACCAACAATGCTGCAAATGCTTGTTGACTGGCGCTGCTTCGAAACTTGCAACCAGGATTAACACCCCCTTGTGATAGATGTGGCCGGCCAGCTTTGACAATGTGGCGGCCATATCCCTGTAATACATCCAGAATATATGCATTGGGATCGGCTGTCCTCATCCATTCAACCGTCCGCCCGCCTTGAAAATACCCGACATTGATATGGATGTTACACTGCCAGATGTGTGGGCGCTCTGTTGGCCGAACGTCGTGTCATCCATCCTTGGGTTGCCTCTGAGCCAGCAGCCAGTGGAGTACCTAGAGTTCGGCTACAGTGGAGTGGGAGGCCCGTCCCTGGTGGGGATGGGCCTGGAGAGAGCTACCTACCTAAGGTAAGCTGCTCAAAGTTTGCCCGGTACCTACCTAGGTACTAAGGTAATGAAGGTGGTGGGTGCATGCTGCAGGTGTGAGGGCAGGTGCAACCGGAGCCATCCTTTCTGTACCACTTCTTGGTCTCCAATTGGTACATCTCTTGAGCGACCTCGGGGCATCCATAAGCCTGCATTGAAATAGCTGCACAAAAATTTAGGAGGACGAAAGTACCTACCAGCTCTGAAGACCATGATAGGATTCGGAAGAGCACGACTCTTCCTCTCCCACCGCTGCGGACCAAGTAACCATCACCCATGGACATCTTCTGCTACGAACATGAGAAGCAAACGGCCAAATCCCTGCAGCCGATAAATGCAAGATCTGCGTCACATTGACACACAAGAAATTGGGTGTACAAGAGGTCTTTTGTGAGTGGCACAACTGATGACGAGATCAAGGAAACATGACTTCAGTACACGACATCTCTGCAGCTGGCTGCGTGGACGTACAGACACCTCTCACACATAAGCACACACACCACCTAGGTATGCTCGACCTGGACGGTCTACGTGTCTCTGCATTAAGACCATATCGAACTTCATGATTGGGTTGGCCACCTACATCTACGGACGTCGTTTTCATGAATGTGACCGGCCTTGGCATCTCGCACAACATGCTCCACGACTTCCGATTTGGGAGGCCTTGATTACGCGACGAATATCATGGCATACAGCACGTCCTAGGAGAGAGTACCGTCTGGATTCCCTCTAGTACGGTCAGTGTAAGTTCATCAATGGCTAGACGAGTGGCGTCATTTTTCTAATGTGGAAATAATTCATGGGATAACAAGCCATGATAACAGTCCGTTTTGTTCTGGGTATTGACGGAGCTGAAACGCGTAAAAAGTGGCTAACCTAAACCGTTAGTTTACGACGTCATGGGGTGAGCTCTGAAGGTACCAAGCAAGAGGCCTCATCACCGCTGCATCCTTCAACCAATGACCCCTCTTTCGCAGCCACCTTTTGACCATACAATTTGCTCTTGGATCTGGCGCGCTTCGTACCACTGAGTCTAGAGCCCTCTCAACCTGCATTTCCTCATTCTTCAACCGCGAATCCGCGCCAAGGCCACGCCCAATGGCCAATTTTGGAAGATGGACCGCGCTCGATCGCCTCCTCGGCTGGGATCGCCACCCTCAGGAAGGACACCGGAACACAAGCCGCCATCATTGGCTCCATGAAGAAGAAACCTGTAGGTCCTTGCTCCATCGCGGCGCGAGCGTCCATCGTCGTCACTAGCAGGAATTGACCCTTCGACGTATGCTGACCTCTCCATAGTACTTGACGGCCACCTGGATGAGTCTATTGGAGTTACAATCCCCCCTCTTGAGGTGACGAGGATTTGCCTTCGGCTGCGACACTTAATTCAAGAATGCGTATCCTGCGAATTGGAAGAGTCCAAAATTACAAGACCACATAGCCGAATCGTTACCAAAAAGGTGATTAAGGCCGCCAAAGAGGCAGGTGGAGACGAATACAGATCTTGTGTAGTATGTCAGATTCCAACCCTTGAGTTTCTTCTTCTCTGACGCGGAACACTTAGGTTTTTTGCCTGCTGGTGAACAAGCAATGGTTCAAGCACGAATCCATCACCGAGTTGTGGGATGCCGACCTACATAAATTACGGGCTACGGCTTGCGGCGTGATCGCTAAGGCAATGTAATGACCGCTGGACTCGACCTCCAAGTTCAATTCCCTAACTTGTCCATTTAGTATCGAGAACGAGGAGAACATGAGATATTTGCTCCATTCAGTCCTTCTGCAACGATACTCCTATCTCTCCGACCGCGAGCCGACGCACCCGCTAAACGTGATTGAGAAAGCTGTCGACTTGCACGACGTTCGAGTCATTGGGTCTTCCGGATACCAAAAATGCATTAGCTACCTTTGGAGAGGATGGCTGGTGCAGGATGAAGATAACCCTTCGGTTTTCATTGACTACAAGGATAAGGCCAACCCTAATTTTTTCGTTCACATGGACCCCGATCGAATGCGAGCCCCCATGTACCAGAACGCAGCACAGATGCTCCTCTCAATCATCTACCTTGGTCTCTATACTATGTCTATCAATTCGGTCAATGCCTCGGGAGTTTTTGATGCCGCCGAGATTCTGATGTATGTCTTTACAGTGGGCTTCATATGCGACGAGACCATGAAGCTGTACAAGGCAGGTTATCACATTCTTGGATTCTGGAATGCTCTCAATGGCCTCTTATACTCGTTTTTAACGGCATCCTTCGTTCTTCGTATCATAGGCCTCACACACCCTGAGCACTCGGATGCACGCAAGGAGTGGAGCCAATTGAGTTACAACGTACTCTCCTTTGTCGCGCCGTTGTTTTGGTCTCGGCTCTTGCTTTACCTCGACAGCTTCCGGTTCTTTGGGGCCATGCTTGTTGTCCTCAAAGTGATGATGAAAGAGTCTGTGATATTCTTCGCATTGCTTATCATTATCAACATAGGATTCTTGCAGGCTTTTATTGGCCTTGATCTGGCCGACGACCTTGTTGCGGACGATGTTTGGTTCATACTCCAGGCGATGCTCAAAGCAATTTTACAAAGCCCAGAATTCGAGGGGTTTGAACAGTTTGGACATCCTTTTGGTTTGATCTTACATTACTGCTTTACGTTCATTGTCATGGTGAGATGACATCTAAAGTACCTTCCGAACCTCTGCTCATAGAAAACTAATAACTTTTCCCCTCCGGGTAGATTATTCTCCTAAACATCTTGATTGCGCTGTATAATTCAGCGTACGAAGATATTTACGAAAATGCGGACGACGAGTACCTCGCCCTTCTCGCCCAAAAGACGATGCAATTCGTACGCGCCCCTGATGAGAATGTTTACATTGCGCCGTTCAATTTAATTGAAATCTTGGTATCTGGGCTTTTTGAGTGGTGGATGCCCAAGAAAACTTACGAAACGATCAACGATATTGTCATGGGAATCATCTACTCTCCTCTCCTACTTGTTGCTGCATTCTTCGAGATCCGGAAAGCGGGGCAGATACGCCGTAATAGGGCGAGAGGCGAGGAGGATGACGACGTTGAAGAGGAGTGGGAGCAGATGGCTAATGAATTGGACTTTGAGTCAGAGGGCTGGGCCAAGACTTGCGAGGCTGTTAAGCCAAATATTGAAGAAGAGCCTGCCATCGTTGAGGTTCGGAAGCTACGGGCAGAGATTGACACTCTGAAGTCGATGCTTTCTGAAGCTATCCAAGCCGGACGTGTGCAACCCAAGCAGAGTGTTGATAATGATGATAATGCGGGCTCTAGCTCCGGAGATCCCAATTAGGAGGCGAGGTGGACAAAATGCTTTTTTGTGAACCAAATCTTTCTGGTTATTATATATAATTCATTGCGTTTAGTTGTCGGGTCTGGCATCTTCCATTACTGTTTTTACTTTGTACTTGAACTCTCATCGGTATATTGCTCAGTTTGTCTTTATAACTTAACATAATTGACCCAGGTTTGAAGAGAATAAAAAAAGAACAAGGAAAACAGTAGTTGTAACTAAGAATCGCCAAATTACCTAGGCCAGTCAAGGAAACGGAAACGAAAGTAGGAAAGCTTGTAAACTTTGTTGGCTATTGCTGATTTTGCTACAGCTCATCAAATCTTAACGGGAATTGGCCTCTGGGGCCGGGGTATCAGGAAAATATTTTCTATTGTCAGTGGTCAGTGAGGTTCATCTCAATTGTAGACGGTGTTGAAAAGAAAAACTTACGGGATGGCCTCGCGATACGCTGCCATGTCCTTCTCATCAAATGCAACAAACACAACCCTCGTTAAACTGCTTGCCTCAGCGGCGAGGAGCCTCCTGACGGTATCGCAAGCTACCTCGGCAGCATCCCGGCTTGGGTAGCCATACACACCTGTGCTAATCCCACTGAAACCAATCGTCTTAATCCCCTCCCTTACTGCAAGCTTCAAGCTCTCCTCGTAGCAGCTTCGTAGTAATTTGGCGCTATCCTTGGGATCCAGCACATTGTACACGGGGCCAACTGTGTGGATCACGTGCTTTGCGGGAAGACGGTACCCGTCTGTGATCTTGGCCTGACCTGTGCGACAGCCTTGGAGAGCTTCGCATTCATCAAGGAGATCTGGGCCTGCCGCTCTGTGAATAGCGCCATCGACGCCGCCTCCACCAAGAAGAGTGGTGTTGGCGGCGTTGACAATGGCGTCTAGGGATAGTCTCGTAATATCTCCTTTGGTGAGACCCACGCGATCATTGATGGAACGCGAACTGGAGTAGCGGCTCGTTGCGGCCTTGAGTTCTGATACCGCATAGAGCTGAGTGACAGTCAGAATGTCTGCTAGGGATTTAGTAGCCATTTTGGAGCGATGTGAGAAGATGAAGGTGTCGTCGAGAAGTGAGCTGTCCTCAAAAAGACTACTGTTGTCGGAGAGCTCGTCGTCCTGAAGATAAAACGGGCTAGCTCTGGAGGAATTGTGGAGTTCTTCTAGATCAGAAAATATGCCACTGTCCTCAAATCCGTCAGGGTCGTATATAAAGCCTTTGGACGGCTGCTGTTTATGGCGACTATATGACTGCTGTTTCTGATGATTGCGGTGCGGCTGCTTGTGGTGCTGTTGGTGAGGAGGAGGGTGAAGACGTGGAGAAGGTTGTGGAGGCAGCTCCTTCTCATGGGAGTGATCAAAAACCCTGAATTGGGGCACCTTGAACCCTCCCAAGTTCAGAGAGAACGACATTTTAGTTTCAGCTCCAACGTCGCTGTCATCGGGCCACAAATGGGAACAAGCAGGGCAGATGCTACTCAGAGAGGGCTACGAGTTCGAACGTTCAAGATGGAATGAGCTTTCGATTGTGCCTGGACGCGTCTCTGACTGAAGGATTGAAATCTGAACACGCCGAAATGGAGCAGGCATGGGGGTTGCCTACTCCCTGTATGCTACCTAATTATATACCATCACGGGACTTTGCATTGCGGACAGGTCACGTAAAGAGGTTGCATAAACCGGGCGGATCGCGAATTTGCCCTTCCAGGTGCCAGCCTCGGGAGATTGGCGCCCCTGATTTGCAGGTGACAACTCAGCATCCAATGCAGAATTGCCTACATTGCCAGAGTATCCTATGACTGGATGGCTGACGTACCCCGGGCGCAAAAAATCACTTTGCACCTACGATCTGTGAGGAAGAGTCTTCAAAATCATGCACTATGCATATACGTGTATGGGGAGTCAGGATGATGCCGTGCATCGTCGTCGGCTATGGGGATTAAAATTGACTGATGGCCATTATTTGTTAGAGATATGATCCGAGTTTTGGGGGACTTTGCACCTATGAGCGCTACCAACAGGGGAAACTGAGCTAAGCCAGGAGCTTCCCCATGACTGGCAGCGATCTGATGTTCTTATCAGGGCGGGAGCTTATCAGAGCGGGGCGACTGAGAATCTGCCCTGCCCCTCATGCATGGTGAAGGTGGGATGCTTTCCTTGGACTTTTGAGTCATCAACAAAAAAACATCGACTGCGATATTGGGCGACCCTGCGATTTACGATTCACTCAACGAAACTCCAAAATCCCTGCCTAGGCTTTTGAAATTAGAACGTATCACTCGGCGGGCACGCAAACGGCACGATGGCGGAAGAAATTACCAAGTCGATGCCCAAGCTTCAGCTCGATGAGGAGACCGGGGAGATGGTCTCCAAGGCCGAGCTCAAGAAGCGCCAGCAGAAGCGAGCAAAAAAAGCAGCTCAAGAGAAGGCACGCCAAGAGAAAGCCGCAGCGGGTGGTTCAGAATCCAACAAGCCAGCCCCCAAGCCTAAAACTGAGGAGCCAACCATTGATCCCCAAGCAATGTTCAAGCTCGGTTTCCTCGAAGACGTATTCAAGGAGCGACCCTCTAAGGACGTTGTTACTCGATTCCCCCCCGAGCCGAACGGATATCTTCATATTGGGCATGCGAAAGCTATTGCTGTGAATTTTGGGTTCGCCAAGTACCATGGTGGAGTGTGCTATCTGAGATACGATGACACCAACCCCGAGAAGGAGGAGGAAAGATATTTCGAAGCTATTCAGGAGATTGTCCAATGGCTTGGATTCGAGCCTTTCAAGATCACATACTCCAGTGACAATTTCCAAAAATTGTATGACCTCGCAGAAGAACTCATTAAGCTAGGGAAGGCTTATGTCTGCTCCTGCAATGGTAAGCATCCCGCGACAGTGATATGCTTGGAACTATGTTCCTAACCGTTGGTTTGACTTCTAGACACCGAGATCAAGGATCAGCGAGGCGGAGAGAAAGGTGCCCACGAACGCTACCGATGCGCACACGCCGACCAGAGCCCCGAAGAAAACCTCACCAAGTTCCGAGATATGCGCGATGGAAAATACAAACCCCGAGAGGTTTTCTTGCGCATGAAGCAAGATATCACTGATGGAAACCCTCAGATGTGGGACCTTGCCGCATATCGTATTAAGACAGACACTCCTCACCACCGAACTGGTTGGGACTGGAAGATCTACCCCACCTATGATTTCACCCACTGTCTCTGTGATAGCTTCGAAGGCATAACTCACTCCTTGTGCACAACTGAGTTCATCCTCTCTAGAGTCTCCTACGAATGGCTGAACAAATCTCTCAGAGTCTATGAGCCTATGCAAAGGGAGTACGGCCGATTGAACTTGACCGGAACCGTTTTGTCCAAGCGCAAGATTCTCAAGCTAGTTGAAGATGGTTATGTCCGTGGATGGGATGATCCAAGATTGTATACATTGATTGCTATCCGCCGCCGTGGAGTCCCCCCGGGTGCTATCCTAGACTTTGTCAACGAGCTTGGTGTGACAACCAGCACAACCACTATTCAGATCCACCGGTTTGAACAGACAATCCGAAAGTACCTCGAAAAGACTGTGCCCAGATTGATGCTCATTCTCGACCCAGTACCACTTGTCATCGAGGATGCTGAAGCTGTCGATGTTGAGCTTCCCTTTTCCCCCAAGGACCCCAAAATGGGCTCGCATACTGTCCGCTTCACCCCAACCGTCTACATTGATCGCTCAGATTTCCGAGAAGTCGACAGCAAAGACTATTACCGTCTGGCTCCCGGAAAGTCTGTCGGTTTACTCAATGCGCCCTACCCTGTCAAAGCAACCTCATTCACCAAGGATGAGGCAACTGGCAAGATTACAGAGATCAGGGCTGTTTACGACCGCGAGGGCAAGAAGCCCAAGACCTTTATCCAGTGGGTCGGTACCGAAGGCTCCAAGAAGGCTGAAGTACGAATTCACAACCCGCTTTTCAAGTCAGAAAAGCCAGATGATGCTGAGGGTGGCTTCTTGAAAGACATCAACCCTGAGAGCGAGGTTATCTACCCGGACGCAATAATTGAGTCAGGCTTTGACGAAGTCAAGAGAAGAGCACCTTGGCCTGAGGCAGCTGGCGAAAGTGAGCTTGGTAAGGGAGGACCGGAGAGTATCCGATTCCAAGGGATGCGAGTTGCATACTTCGTAAGTAGCCCCCATCGAGCCTCTAGATGTTGTCTACTAACTTTATTACAGGCGGTGGATTCCGATAGCACCGACGACAAGATTGTTTTGAACAGGATCGTTAGTTTGAAGGAGGATGCTGGAAAGAACTAAGAACCTAGAAAGAACAGCATTTTCACATGAGAATATGGCATGCGGATGCTTCGAATCAAAGATGCAGGGGTTATGGAGTTCTCGTCACTTGGGCATAACAATAGAAAAAGTCTCGAGTAATTTGAATTACATTTTAGCCGATCAATATATTCTGGTACCTTGCGGCGCTTCCCAAATTCTATCTGTAGACCCTCTCTCCCGCGAATGGTCTCCAAGAGCCTTTCTGCTGCTCATTGTCGTCAATTTCAACCTTGCCTTCAAGGTGTGATGGCACATTTCTGAACGCAACATATCCAACATCATTATCCGGACGAACATCCGCCAGTTGCACTCGCATATCTCTCAGCCATCTCGCTCTCTGCGGTCCCGGCATTGCACTTCCGCAATCTAGTAGGGGGATGTAAGGGTTGTCGCGAGTCATGGAGCTAACAAAGCCGACAACGTCAGGTCCACAGATTAGCAAACGAAACGCCATCCCCAGACCTGCCAGGATTAAAAGGATGAAGGTCGTTGTAAAATGAATGGCCGTCCAGACCTTGTCTGTTCGATACACTTCGACTCTTGTTACCACTTTTCCTTCAGTTGAATTGTAATAAGTCGGGACAGCTGGCGAAGCTGGCGAGTATATTTGGGGCCCGGGATCCTTCCCGAAGGAAATATCGGTATGGTTCAGAGAGTTCAGCGTTGCCATATGGAAAGTGTTGAAGGCGGAGGTCATACGTTTGGAAATCACGCCCTCATCGTAGGTCGCCCAGTCTATGACCCCCTGCCTAGCGTAGGGTGCTGTATCTCCATAGATATAAGCGTCTGTGGCTGAAGATATACGGTTATAGAACCCTCCGTCAGCTTTAACGAAGGTCTCAATGAACGAAGACATCGCCCTTGCTGATTTCAGAGTCTGTCTCATTAGGGTAAGCCTTGGTTCTGGGGCATCAACGAGACGCTGGCGCACAGCAGAGCAGCTAGGGTTCTTTGAATTCAGGCCACACTCCATCTCTGTCTCAAGAATAACCGTGTCCATGGAGCAGTTGAAAATGATCATGTTGTTCTTTGGGTTGAGTCTACTGCTCATGTAGACCAAATGGGGGGTACCCTGTTGCTCAATATAGTCCCAATCCCTGTTGTGTGGTTCCCAGAGCCACCTTTGTGAGAGCTTGATCCATAAGCTTGTGCCATTAAGATATCCCCTCATCAGGCCAATTGTACTTCGAATAGGGTCATATCGAGGCAGACCTATATATTCGGATGCATTAAATATTTCGTACCTGTTGGTACATTCAAAATCCATGAATGACGTTTGGACAGAGAATTTCAACTGTGCATCACTCTGTTTTATGAAGTCCAGCCCTTGAATTTTAGTTCCAAGCAGAGAGTAATATTCGTTGTCTCCGCGATCAAGCGCACCTTGATCGATCTCGTACATCTCGCCTTTTGCTTTGCTCTTATCCCTCTGTGGGATTTTCGGCATTTCCCAAAGATCTCGAGGTGCGGCCTTTTGATCAGGAGATTGGAGAAGTGAGGATGAATACAGAGATTTGACACTCAGTTCCGACACGAACTGAAATTCCATGCTCGAATAACTTGAGACCTGGTAGCTTGGGTGGGCGTAATAGACATTGCCAGAAGAAAGGATCTCGCGATGAGAATGATAGACCATCCTTGCGCCTGCCTGACCCCCCAAAGGGGACATAGCCCAAATTACAAGGATGACGAAACCAACCGACACTTGGGCACGAACGAACAGCAGTCTCTCCACAGCTCCAGCAAAGCTTTGGCTGCCCATTATCTGTTCAAGAACTGCGAGTCTTATTCCGTCAGGTTGCTCTAGGCTCCAACGGCCGAAGTTTTTATAGAAACGAGCAGCAACGGCAGCGAACAGAATGGGATAGATTGTGGGGACCAGTCGGTTGATGCTTAAGATGGTTTCGCCGTGGGATGAGAAGGGTTTGTTGTCGAGACAGAGGGCCAAAACCGGGATAACTGTATTATTCCGGAACTTCCAATTAGTGATTGCTCATATTTTATATTAAGGTCAGGATCTGCCGAATACCAATGAAGAAGGTGGGTGCGATTGTCAAAAGCACATCCCACAGCAATTCCGTATACCAAGAGAAGCCTTTCTGGTTTAGCCTCTGTTGGCCTCCATGTAGACGCGGGCACTCTTGCTGGGGTGAATTGATTAACGAGTTTTCCTCAGTTGTCTCCGATCCAACCTCGACGCATGGTCGTGGCTTAAGATTCGCCTTAGTCTTGGCCTTGGCCGGGCTCTCATGGTCCAGTATACGATGATTCGAAAACGAGCTATATCACGGTATTAGACACAATATTTCCGAACATCCCCTTTTTCTTTTTTTTTGTCCAGGAATAAGAAAACTCTTACCTTTTGTTCATCTCAGAAACCCAGAAGTACCTGCCGAGTAATGCGAGCAAGACCAGGGCAAAGACAGAAATGCCAACTGATAACCCAATAATATCCTCTAGTGAAAGGGTGCCCCAGGCTACCCCAGTGTCAATTTCAGAGGCGTGATTGCTTGGTGGTGCTGGAACTGCAGTGTGCTCTGATTCTCCCGTGGTATTATCGCTTTTAGATCGAGCAAAGCTAAATAAATCTTCCCGTAAGTCCTTGTAAGGGGTCAAGGATACTGCATTTGTATAGGACGTGGTGCGCGGCCCATCACTGAAATCGTAGGGCTCGCTTCCTAGACACGAGCCGTTGCCGCCGGCTGGCGCTCCAACTTGTAAGTTTGACCAGCGCCATTGGGTGGGATCACTGTAATTAGAATTGCGGCAAATGAAGAATAGCTTATCCCCAAGCTGCGTATATTTTGCGTATGTAGAGGTCGAATTCGCAGGCCTGGTATCTTTTCCATAACAAACACCTGAGTAATCCGCACATGGGTTGGTAGTGCAACAACCAACGAACTCAAAAAAGGATCCCTCGTATACATAGGGGTCGCCGCCAGATGGGCACCAAAGCCCTAAGGCATCGATTATCGCACGGTTGTTAGACATGGCTGCTTCCATGTGGCAATCTCACAACATTGAAAAGACACAGATGTTTAAAAGAGGGAACTCGACGGGGGAGCTCGTAAAAAAAGCAAGCGACACGCAGAAATGAAGTGCCTAGTAGCACGGACGGCTACGAGACTTCAAATGGGAGTAGGTATGTATATAGGTAGCCATGATCTGACTTCCATGCCTCTGATGAGGGACCAGTGGATATCCCATCATATATTCACAAGGCGCATCAAAAGCGCTTACGGGAGAATCCGATTGGCCTGGCCAGCGCCGCCGCCAAGATTCAACGCCGCCAGAGAGCATCAGTCCTGGAATCCGCAACGATGCAACTCTCTGTTGGTAGCAGACATTCTAACTGCAACTCTCAATTGGTCCGGGACAGAAAGGAATGTGGGATTACCGGGTGGCACCCTTGCAGGCTGGACTGCGGGACGGGTCGTCTTTGCCATAACGGGACACTGGTTGGCCTGCTAGTGACAATTCATGCTGGTAGAGCAACGGAGAAAAACGCCGAAGGTTTGGGATCTTTGTATTGTGAGCTGGTGCCAAGGACGTGCATAGCAAAGGATGCTGCAACGTCGAACCAACTGCATATTCTGAACCATAGTGTAGTGTTCAAAACCTCGGCGACGTTTGCTGCTAATTTAGGCTGGCCAACCGCGAAACCATAACCAGCTAGCCTTGGTGGCTGTTTCCGTCGGTAGCCAGGGGCATTGCCAACCAAAGGCCTCAACTTGCCGCCGCCAAGGAATTGGGGGAAGAAGCCATCCCGTCCTGCCATTGATGCCAGAAACCGGGCGTTTGGGTGGTAACATGATGGCTGGGTCCCAACGTGTCCATCCATATCCGCCCACGGCGAGGCACGCGGATCCCATGACGTGAAAGCAATGCCTCCGTGCTGTCTCTTGTGCTCCACATGTAGGGTAGGGCAGCATCCGAGTTAGGGCTGAAGAAGAGATTGGCGATGGAGATGCCAAACAGTCGTGGGCGGCTATCTAACCTATGGAATCGTCACGTTGCGGCGGTCAGGCTCAAGGTCCAAAATAAGCGAATACAATCGTACAGACGACCTACCGGAATGCAACCTTTTGGCAAGCCGAGAGAGGTGCCCTGCGTCAGTTAGACCGCAAAAGTATTTCCTGGATTGTCTCAACTTTCTAATGCAGGCTACAATTTACAAACAGTAGCTAAAGTTGATAACCTATCAAGATTGAGTCTTATTGTTGTAGACAGTATTGTTCATGGTTACACGATAGGAAGCATCATTAGGTATCTGACTACCTATGCCACAGGTATTCACTGTCCCTGTTTTCTGACACCCACTTTCTCTCCTCATGGCCCATTCTTGAGTGCTTGCGTGGTTGATATTGAAAGGGACAGAATGCCCGACGAACTTGAATGTTTCCTCAACTGTGCTCCCTGCTGTGGGAGAAACTCATCATTATGGGGCAACATGGTTTACATACATATTCACAGCCCTCAGATCACGGCGCTGGCGCCAACGTGGTTTCCGATAGAGCGGCGACTCAAGGCTTAGCACCAACGCGCGCACTTCGCTTCAAGCGCAGAAGCACGCCCAAGCCGGCCAGAGTCAAGATGTGACATGTTCCCGTCATCGATGCTTCAGGGTAGCACCTGCCACTGTACCATTCAACCTTGGCAGGAATTATGCTCTCGTATTCTCCATCATGCAACTGAGCCACTCCAGCCTTGCCTTACCGCTGGCTCCATCATTCACTTAGCATAGCGGGAGCATTATCGTGAATGGGGGCGCAAACGCTCGCGCTAGACAGAGCTGAACAGTTAGCGCAGCTTGGCCATGCAGGAACCAGCCGAAGATGCGGGGAGTGATCATTTAAATTATCTCCAGGGGCTGAGCCAGCTGAGGCGTTTTCAGCATAGCTGTGTGAATACTAGGCGGAGCGGCGGGCGGCGTCGATGGTGTGCATTTGCTTCTAAAGAGAATGGGATAGGCAGGTAGAAAAGGGGAGCAAGAAAGCTCCTGTCTCTGTCCCATAGCTTAGGCATCTTACCTCACCACCATATACTGGACTCCTTGAAGAACATTGCATCAATCCACCACTATCATGTCTATGTAGGCAGAGAACGCCATGTCCTGTTACAGGAGTTGAGCGCATTTCCAAGCTAACCCTCGTCCACAGACCCCTCAAAGTCAAGGTCGCCATCCGGGACCTCTGGGACAAGCCAGACTCCCCCGTCCAAGAGGCCATCACTCGCCTCAAGAATATCCTCGGCCTGGATTTCATTTGCGAGCCTGCTTGGCCTCTGCTCGTCACAGAATTAAGCCCCCACTATGACGACAACAGCGAGCTGGCCAAGTCGGTCATCAACTTTGTCAAGGTCTGGGTCGAGGCCATGACAGAGCTGCTCGATGACGAGGAGAACTCGGAATGGGCAGATTCCATCGTCGACCTTGTGAAGGACAACGGCGCAGCATTGAAGCTTCATCTCGAGGTAGGCATACTATGTTCCTTCCAACGCCATGAGCACAAAATAAATGATGCCGCTTCACCTCATACACTCTATTGATCTAACTTACACTCGGTATAGATCAAGGCTAGAGATGCCTCCACAGCATGGTCCGACTCTCAAAGGTCCTTCCTGCTCCATCTCCCCTCGTCAAACGTCACCCGGCCAGACCAGTACACTCCCACCTTCCAGACCCAGCTCCTCAGCTGCTTCAAGAAGGACAAGCCACTGGCTCTGCGCCCATCCGCCGGGGGAGAACTCGACTCCGAGGACGAGGAGGACTACGAAGCCGTTTCCGTCCCCAAACGTCCTGCCGTCACTGCCGCCGCACCCTCCTCCGCTCCCAAGCCAAAGCCGGTGAGCGAGACCCTCCCGGATCCCAGGAGCCTCCCCAAGCCCAGCACCTTGCTTCAGGCTCCTCCTTATCACCTGTTCGTCCACGCGTTCGGGAACAACACTCTGGAAGTTCAGTGCAGTAATGGCCTGACCCTGGACTTCTTGGCCGAGTACTTTAAGAAGTGGGCGCAGCCTTCGTCTGGTCAGGTATGGACTTTTCCCATTTTACCCAAAATTAGTATCATTGAGGGTCGTATCACTGACAAGGCGTACCTCGAGCAGGCTGTTCCCGTGAAGGTGGAAAACAACCACCAATCATCCAGTTTTGGAATGTCGTATGATACAATCACCCTGTCTGCTGAGCCACTCTATGGCAGAAACACAACCTTGTCTCCACCAGTTATTTTGGCTCTTATCGAGGGGCTATTGGGATACGAGTTGGTCTACCGCGATGCGTCCCATTGGCAGTATCGTAGGGAGACGCCTATCAGGAGATAGACGATGTGTACGATAATGGAGTGAAGAATTAGATATCTATTCGGTGTACTGATACAATCCAAATCTCAACAGAACGCCGATATACACTAAATGAACAAGAAAACTCACGCTTTTATCTGCATCATGACATCGAGATAAACCAGCTCCAATCATCCAAAAACAGGCGGATGCATATCCTGATACGGCCGAGGAGACCCCCACAGCACGCCTGCCATATCGTCGTCCCAGGCCCAGTCGCCCATCCAGTCCAGACCCTGCTGGTCCTCCATCATGGCCTCCGCCTCCGCCATCTGAACCGGCTCGCCCATGAAGTCAACAGGGACGCCCTCCCGCCGCGCCACCGTCTTCAACTCCTCCAAGCTCTCCTCTAGATACTTATTCACCATCGTAGTGATATTCTTCTCGAGTTCTTCGGGCGCCATGCCCCTATCCAGCGCTCGGACGTGTTCCAAGCTGACGGCCGAGAAGCAGTAGCCTTTTACGTTTGTCTCTCCTGATCGTAATCGTCGGAGAGTCAAGTTCACGAACCTCTCGAGGATGGCGTAGAGGTCGAAGTCACCGCCAATGGAAGGCAAGTAACCTAAACTCAGGTCGGCCAACTCTCCCTTGTGCATCGTCTCGAGGACAATGGCCGGCAGGGACTGTATCACGACGTTCCGGAACATCCCAGTTCCATTGACAATGATACGGTAAAAGTCGCTATTGTCACCCACAGAAGGGCCCGTAGTATTGCCTCCAGCGATCCCGCAAATGTTCATAATCCTGAGGGCCCCGTCAAAGTATATCTTTCGAGAGAAGTAGAACTTGGGGTCCTCGAGCGAGCGGGCAATCACAGGCTGGTGGAGCGTGTGGAAGCACCGGTAGAGGATCATCTCGGCCATTGATGCATGGAAGTTGTTGACCTTTGGCGTTGCCTGGCCTTGCTGATTCCGGGTGAACATTGCGAAGACCTTGGAGAAGGCCCGGCATGCCTTGGTGACCTCTGAGTTGAAACGCAGCGTGTCGTCGTAGGACTCGGATGCGCGGAAGTCGTTGGCATGCTCAAGGAGGCGGAGCCTGAGAGGAAGAGACTTGTAGAGTTGCAGCTGGAGTGACATCTGGGTGACCGTCTCTGGCGGGTGGCGGATGTTCTCGGGATCGTCGACTTCGTCGGTGAGCTCTTCATCGTCGAGATTTGCGGGAGGGAGCACGTCGTGGTCCTTCCAAGAGATGAGGGGAGGTCCGCCGGCGTCAAAGGCACATTGGAGGTTGAGTTCGAGGACGGTGGCCCACAACCGGCGCCGCATCTCTGCCCGGTAAATTGTCATGATTCCCAGCTGTGAAGGGTCACGATGAAGGCCCATATGCATGGCTTTCCTTACCAGTGATCCAGCAGATATCCACACAAGGTCCTGTCCCACAGAGCATGCCTGGCGGGAAAGGGTCACCAAACACATGATTTGGAGGCCAACGATGGTCATCCTAGACTTTTCGGGAGGCAGCATGAGCCAGAGTTGGGCTTCGTGAATCCACTGATGGGCTTGAGCACGCATTGAGAAGACCTCATCGAGGAAAGGGGCACCCAGTGCCAAGACAAGCTGCAACTGAATGACGAAAAAGTCACTGGTCATTTCGGGCACTTGCCAGTACCTCTCATAGTCGGCACGGAATGTGGGAACGTGCAGAATACGCAAGACCCCCTCGAAAGTGCGGAAGTAGGCATCAACCATCTGGTCCGCGAGTTCGCGGCTGATGTTCAGTCTGCCCAGCGTGAGGGAGGAGAGTGGCTGCTGGCGATGCTCTTTAATAGTACGCCCCATGGCCTTGCATCCTTTGAGGGCATGAACCAGACCATGGCTCTGGCCTGACTCGACACGGTCGCGAATTTCTCGCACGAATGGGAGCTAGATAACAAAGAGTGTTAGCGAATCAGCTCGATTGAATATGCGAGGGAACACGCTGCGGTACTCACAGTGTAAGTGCCATTCATCCAGTGGCTGCGACCAAAATATCTGGTCTTAGAGACAGTTCCATTGGAAGGCAGCGACTCGCTATCACGCTGAGAAGAACTGTACGGGCTTGCCTCTTCATTAGATATAGTCACCACCTTGGCCAGCTTCTCTTCCAAATGGTGGACTCTGTGGGTGAGCTGCTCAACATTGGATCTGGGAATACTGGAAGTCGAGCCTGCAGTGGAACTCGGCACATTCTGTGGTGAAGGGTCCGAGGATTTGGAGACCCCGGTCTGACCGTATCCAGTGAAATCAAAGAGGTCTTCTGCATGGAGCTCCTCTTGGGAAGGGATAGTGGGAGCTGGCAGGATAGTCCGTACAGACGACGAATTGTCCGAAGAGGTAGCTTGGGTGGCCTTTTTCTTGGAACGAGAGGCAGGGATGTGTGTTGGGGCATAGGAACAAGCGGGAATCTTGGACTTTGTGCAATTGTTGCAGGGGATATTTCGATCACACTTGATCTTGCGTCGTCGACACTGCTCACAGGCGAGAGCAGGCCGGCGCCGTCTCTTCTGCGGCTGCTGCTCCCCACTCAGTAAAGAGAGGTCACCTTCCTGGTTCGTGTCATGCTCATCTTGTACGAATGGGTTAGACGCTGCGGCAGCTTCTGCAGGAGGTGCAGCGCCAGGTAAAGACAGCGGCATCGACATGGCTGCTCTCCTACTGCTGTGGCTGGTGTAAGTCGGCGATGGGGCTGAGGGATGTGGCAGGTGCTCTGCTGTTCGGGCTTTTGATTCAACACCGCAACAAGGGATGTTCGCCCTTGTAACCCCGCTCGGAGGATATCTTGATGTGCTTCTCGGCAAATTTGCAAGAAGAAGAATATTAAAGAACACAGCATCCGTCAAGACGGCACGCATGGGGAATCGTCAAAGTATACCAACTCCCCAGCGAGTTGAGTGTGAAAAGGCCGAGATTTACTGCGCCCTCATTGGCCGGATTGTCGAATTCACCAAGGGCTGCCTGGTGCCGATCTTCTGATTGGCGAGAGCTATTTTGGGTCCTCGAGCGGCGTCAACGACTGCCGCACCTCATCTACACATCACGTCAACCGTCGTTATCCGACGGTGTTCGACGGTGTTAACTTGAAGAGGTGTAGTCAGGAGACGACTCTGCAGCTAAGAGAGCTTGCTGCAGTACCCGAAAGGCAATTATGATGCGGCATCCAATTAAAGTCGCGGTGGACTCTTCCAGACATGACGTAGCTCGGATTGTTGGTGAGAGATTCGCATATTTCTAACCTCCGCCTCTAGACAGGGATTATTTTATCTCTTCTGGGTGAGCCCGCGCTTTTGTGACCGTACAGGGTTTCTGCCCAGGTACCATTATGTCGGGCGGCCGATCGCTCTGACCGTGTGCATAAAGGACTCCAAGTTTTCTGGCATGTTCATGGTCGCGGTATGGCAATGGCATCTATGGCGGCGTTGGTAGGTCCGCCTATTGCTGGTGCTCTGGTGAATAACTACGGTTTCAAGGAGGTGTCGTATCTAAGCGGTGCAATGACTCTTACCGGTGCTTTGGTCGGTATGATTGACAAGAGAGAGATATATATATAGGTATGTACAAATCACCTGAAGGAATGCTTGGTAGAGGCATAGAACGAAATCGAAGCGAGTTGTGGAGGAAGGGTTGACGATGATAATGCATAAACATGAAGATCACGAACTAACTGTTGAACCAGATAGAATTAATATTTTTCTGTACTCTCATTTCAAACGTCGTCAAATTAATCAAAATGCCTGTCTAGAGTTTCAGCCACTTCGTGAAACATGCATCCTACTCGTTTTTAGGGCAAGATTGAAGAAAGTAGAATCCAATGTACAAGCTGGAGATATCCTCTCCAAAACACCCAAATGCAGCATTACTAGGTAGTTAAGAGTCATTGTACACGAATGTCTGGGCCTGTAGCACTTCCTTTCCATGGTTGCTAAAGCCAGAATATCGAACATCTCCCACCACCATCCATACCCTCTTGAGACAACCAAGTCGCTGACGGTCCCCTCAGTCTATAACAATATCCTCCACCCGACGCCAGGCCTGCGCATGCTTGTGCCATCCCTGGAGTAAGCCCATCATTACCTGAAAATTGCTTTCCGAATTTTACAGGAGGAGCTCGAGAGGGTTCTCGATGACCTTCTTCAGCTCACGGACCCACTCGGCACCGACAGCGCCGTCGACGACCTTGTGGTCGAAGCTGGCAGTGATGGTGATCTGGTCATCCCACTCAACACCGGACTCCTCAGTCTCGGAGGGGATAGCAACCTTCTTAGTGGTGCCGATGGCGACAATGGCAGCCTGGGGAGGGTTGATGACGGCAGTGAAGTGGTCAACAGCGGGGTTCATGCCCATGTTGGAGATGGAGATGGTACCGCCCTGGTACTCCTCGGGCTTGAGCTTGCCGTCACGAGCCTTCTTGGCCAGCTCCTTGACCTTGGAGGAGATGGACTCGAGGCCACGGCCCTCAACGCCAGTGACAATGGGGGTGATCAGGCCAGTGGGGGTGGAGACAGCAACGGAAACGTCGACGCTGCTGAACTGGCGGATGGTCTCACCGCGCCAGCTAGAGTTGACGGTGGGGACCTTCTTGGAAGCGGCAGCGATAGCCTTGATCAAGAAATCGTTGACCGACAGCTTGTACTGGCCCTCAGCTGAGGCATTGAGAGCCTGGCGGAGCTTCAGCAGCTTGGTGACGGAGAGGGAGCTGGTGACGAAGAAGTGAGGGTTGTTCTGGACGGACTCCTGGAGGCGGCTGGCAATGACCTTGCGCATGCCAGAGATGGGAGTGTCCTCGAAAGCAGCAGCGGGAGCAGCAGAAGAAGAGGGGGCGCTGACGGCCTTCTTGACATCCTCCTCGGTGATCTTTCCGCCCTTGCCAGTGCCCTTGACCTTCTCGATGGCGACACCGCTCTCGCGGGCCAGACGCTTGGCCTGGGGGGTGGCGTTGGGCTCACGGTCAAGAGCGGTCTGCAGGCGGCCGGTGGAAGAGTATTGCTCGGGCTCGGGGGCGGGCTCGGGGGTAGAAGCGGCAGCGGGCTTGGACTCAGTCTTCTCCTCCTTGGGAGCGGCAGGAGCGGCATCACCACCGGCATCCTCGAGAGTGAACTTCTCGAAAGCAGTGATGTCGGCGCCCTCCTCGACGAGAACAGCGATAGGCTAGATTCAAATCCAGGTCAGAACAGGAACTGGGACAGAGGAGAAACTGATGCCAGGTGGGCAGCGAGGGATTAGGGGCTCAGCTTACAGTGCCAACAGGAATGTCCTTGGCACCAGACTCCTTGAGGATCTTGGCGATCACACCCTCCTCCTGGAACTCAAAGTCCATCTGGGCCTTGTCGGTCTCGATCTCAACAAGAACATCACCGGGCGCGATGCTGTCACCAGGCTTCTTCTGCCAGGCGCCAATGTTGCCAGCCTGCATGGTTGGGGAGAGGGCGGGCATCTTGACGACCTGGTGGTCGGGGAAAGAAGCATAGTAGCGGACTACATGTGCCCTGAAGCCTGCTCGCAGGGCATTCTGGGTGGGCTTGAGGGCTTGCCTCCGAAGTACGGCGCTGAGCATTGTGAGCGAGGGGGTGGGAGATGAGCTCCGCCTCAGGGATATATTGAAACTTCTAAAGAGTAGAAGCTGCCGATTGCTCGCAGACGGAGTCTACTGAGAGCAATTGACACCGGCGGGATGGAGTTGAAGGAGCGAAGAGGGGGATGGGGATAGACGTTGCGCGGGAATTTTAATTGGGGATGGGTCGGAGAGGCTCAACGTGATGGAAATTCTTGGGGTTGTAGGACAGTTTTTGCGTTGAGCTCTCCGTCGGTTTATCGAGCTCCGTGGGCTAAACCGCTTTCGGTCGGTCGGATCATCATTGGCACAGGCTTTTACATGCGGCCATTCAAACACCGGCATGCACGCATTCTGGACTATGGGGTCTCTGGAATTGTTAGAGCGTTGGCAACGGCTGAATTGATGCGTTTGATTATCTCATCCATTGTTAGATAAATTCCCAGCCTGATCACCGCGGATGAGGCCGAGCCTCGAGGTGTAGAGCATACCGCCTACAAACCCCTCACCAATCGCCGTCAGGTGATAATTCACAACGCACCTTATCAAGGCGGTCGGGCCTTTGATCAAACGGCTAAACTATTGGTGGACGCAGGAAAGCTGTCGGAACGGTCGCGAATCCATTTGTTAGCTGGATCTGCTACCTATTTATTTATTTTATCTGGTCTGCGCCATTTGGCGAGTAGAGTATTAGTAGATCTATAGCAACACACACTCAATAAAGTTCGTATTCATTGGTCCATCGACCGGTTGTCATATCGTTTCGTCATCTGAAGCGGATCTTTCAATGCATCGTAAGAATGGACATGATGCTATTTACGTCCTGCGTAGGAACTGTGTACGAAATCCTTCAACTTCCATCGCTTAGGATATCCCAGACAATCGTTACGTACAAGAACAAATGACATATACATATAATTGACGCCTATTTCAACACCCTTCCAGTGTTTCATACAAATATAGTCGAAACAATCCTGTAGATAAACCTAAAGTGGTTGGAAATACGCAGGTCTAGATGGCTCATGATGAACCTTAGCTGCTGAGAAAAAGATCGACGCGATGCATGCCTAGGGTAGGATTACGTTAACTTGGCCTTAGTCAGAAGGATCTGGTGGTTGGTTCTAGAGGAGGAATGGTTGTTGACAAAAAGACTAACACATAAGTCACTAAACATGCGATTGGTTGCATGTATACTTTGTCGTATTCCTGGTTGTTCGTCTGAAGAGCTGAGGGTGGTCATCCTCATGGTGCAGTAGAGTGTTGGTACTGTAGCCGTCATATCATCCAAGTGCTAGGCTGCACATATAGCAGGTTCCGCCTCATGCTTTTCTACAGCGCAAATAGCCACGCGTTTTAGCAAACTATCGAAATTTATTCTGCATGTTTCTTCAAACTAATTTCACGAGCAGAGATGATAACAGCAATTGGCACTATCGAGACTAGAACGGTAGGTTTTCTCGCCTCCTGGCTGCAGATTGGAACTTACTGTATCCATGAGATGCAGAGTGGATATTGTGCCCCCCTGGATTGCACTGGATTTACACGGACGCTAAACCCAAACAGGGGGCCGCCACAAGCCAAGCCACCTCCCAATCCTCTCACTATTGGCTCCGGACTCCATAATTCGGCTGCGCAAGCGGACAAGGAGGCTCCTGTCACTGTAATTTGGACGCCTAGCTCCTGGTCCCTAGCGCTCTAGTGTAATATTGGGGCAACAGCTGGGCGCTGGAACTGAATGTTGTCCACATCTGAGCCACGACCCTGATGCAAAGCTCCTGCTCATCCGGGCACTTTAAGTTTTGCGTCGCCATTTGATATTTCCGACCGCTGTTGACAGACGCCGCTCCCTTCGTCTACCTGCTGTGTTTGTTGCACTTGCTGGATCACATCTTCGGCGTGGGTTCCCCTTGCGCATCGCCTTCCCGCCTGGCTTCCGAGAGCTGCGAATGGCCCCTTAAGCATCCCAACCGCTCCCGATGAGCTCCGTCAAGTTTGTGGTGTCCGCCTTGGACGCCATATTAGCTTCCAAGGAGGCGCAAAAGAATAAAGAATTAGCAGACTCCTCCAAGAAGGCCTTGGACGCCATAAAGGAGCATGACAAATTGCCCAACCCCGAGATCGTCTTCACGCCCCTCCAGCTCGCAACCAGATCCAACGATGCTAAACTGACGACTAGCGCTCTCGACTGCATCGGAAAACTCATTTCATACTCCTACTTCTCAGTCTCCAGCAAGGAAGACGAGGAAGACGAAGTCGACCAAGCACCTCCACTGATTGAACGAGCTATCGACACGATTTGCGACTGTTTCGAAGGCGAGAGCACCCCTGTCGATATCCAGCTCCAAATTGTCAAGTCCCTCTTGGCGGCAGTTCTCAATGATAAGATTGTTGTACATGGAGCCGGCCTGCTCAAGGCGGTTCGACAGGTGTACAATGTTTTCCTGCTCTCCAGGAGCACCGCCAACCAGCAGGTCGCTCAAGGCACATTGACGCAGATGGTTGGGACTGTTTTCGAGCGAGTCAAGATACGATTGCATATGAAGGAGACTCGCTTAACTGCTGCAAGCGAGGCGCCCAACTCACCGGATCGCGATGAGGATCATGACGAGGACCATGATGAAGAACATGAGGATCGCGACGAGGCTCAGGGGGATCAGCACATTGAGCACGAGAGAGCCGAGGAGGGCACGAGCGATCCGCAAGATCTTGCCAACGCAGATGCGCCATTGGCCGAGACCCCCGATGACGAGCCCGCAGAACCGAAAGAAACTAATGGAAGTGCGAAGGCAAAACTCACTTTGAAGGATCTTGAGCATCGCAAGAGTTTTGATGATTCAAATCTGGGAGACGGTCCTACCACTGTCACGAGGCTTCGATTTGCCAAGGACAAGGACGACAATGCTTCCGTATCCGGGCACTCAGTTCCCGACCACCCTGCTCCAGACGATTTGGAGGCTCTGGAAGCCGAGGATGAGGTCTACATCCGTGATGCGTACCTCGTCTTCCGATCGTTCTGCAACCTGTCAACCAAGGTCCTTCCACCGGATCAACTATATGACATTCGTGGCCAGCCTATGCGCTCGAAGCTTATTTCTCTTCACCTAATCCACACCGTTCTCAACAACAATATTTCGGTCTTCACTTCTCCTATTTGTACTATTAAGAGCTCCAAGAGCAACGAGTCTACGACTTTCCTTCAGGCGATTAAGTTCTATCTCTGTTTGAGTATCACGCGCAACGGCGCCAGTTCGGTGGATCGGGTGTTTGAAGTCTGTTGCGAAATCTTCTGGCTCATGCTTAAGTTCATGCGCCCCTCATTCAAGGTAAGCCCTCCCCTGGTATTGCCATCCCGGACGTAAGCCGTTAACACATACTTGCAGAAAGAAATTGAGGTCATCCTTAATGAGATTTACTTGGCCCTCCTTTCGCGCAAAAATGGGCCTCTGTCACAGAAGATTTACTTTGTTACCATTTTGAATCGAATGTGCGCCGACCCGCGGGCACTGGTGGAGACTTACTTGAACTATGACTGTGGTCAAGGCGTAGATAACATCTACCAGACCATTATCGAAGATCTCTCTAAGTTTGCTACTGCTCCGATCACAATTGCTTCTGCTAATGAGCAAATATACGAGGAGACACGAGCGAAAACTGCACCTCCCAGCGAGTGGCAATTGAAGCCTGTCTTGCCGCCATCACTGACTGTCGCGCGTATCCAACCAACTCAAGAAACAGAACCGGACTATCCAAAGGAGTACGCAATCAAGCGACTTTCGTTGGAAGCGCTTGTCGAGGCTCTGAGATCGCTTGTGAATTGGTCAGCCCCGTTACACACTGAGGCCGATACTCTGCAGTCGAGAACCGAAGATGCAAATCCTTCCATGGAAGAATTACGGCCTTCTTTTGATCCGACGTTGAGCGAGCCCAGCCCTACGCCTCTGGGATCATCTACACCTACCTTGGACGATGACCCAGATCACCTCGAGAAGGAGAAGGCTAGGAAAACGGCACTTACCAATGCCATCCGGCAATTCAACTTCAAGCCGAAAACGGGCATTAAGCTCTTGCTTCGAGATGGATTCATTTCCCAAGATACTCCAGAGTCGATTGCCCACTTCCTTTCGACGGAGGAGAAACTCGATAAGCAACAGATCGGAGAATACCTTGGCGAGGGTGATCAGAGAAATATCGATATCATGCACGCTTTTGTGGATTCCATGAACTTTACCAAGAGGCGATTTGTTGATGCCCTCAGGCACTTTCTTCAATCCTTCCGTCTGCCCGGCGAGGCACAGAAGATTGATCGCTTCATGTTGAAGTTCGCAGAGCGATATGTTCTTGGCAACCCAAAGGCCTTTGCCAACGCCGACACGGCTTACGTTTTGGCCTACTCTGTTGTCATGCTGAACACGGATCAGCACAGTAAGAATGTTGTTCGAAGAATGACAAAGGAGGACTTCATCAAGAACAACCGAGGCATTAACGACAACGCCGATCTTCCCGACGAGTATCTGATCGGTATCTTTGATGAGATCGCGAGCAATGAAATTGTTCTTACAAGTGAACGAGAAGCGGCAGCGGCAGCCGGACCAACTACAGCTCAGCCGTCAGGCATTGCCGCTGGCCTTGGGCAGGCGTTTTCAAGTGTCGGCCGTGACTTGCAGAGGGAGGCGTATGTCCAACAGTCCGAGGAGATTTCCCTCCGTTCCGAAGCTCTGTTCAAGACACTCTTCAAGTCCCAGCGACGAAATGCCAAGAAGGACGGTGTCAAGTATATCCCTGCGACCTCTTTCAAGCACGTTGGCCCCATGTTTGACGTGACCTGGATGTGCATTTTCTCAGCTCTTTCTGGCCAGATCCAAAAGGCTCACAATATTGAGGTCAACAAACTATGCCTTGAGGGTATGAAGCTTTCGACCAAGATTGCATGCGCTTTCGAGCTTTCAACGCCACGTGAGGCCTTCATGACGGCTCTCAAGAACGCCACCAACCTGAACAATCCCCAGGAGATGCTGGCAAAGAATATTGAGGCTCTCAAGACCATCCTTGATCTCGGCTCAACAGAAGGCAACGTCCTACGAGAATCCTGGAAGGATATTCTTCTTTGCATCAGCCAACTGGATCGTCTCCAGCTTATCTCGGAGGGTGTAGACGAGAGTGCAATCCCGGATGTTTCCAAGGCCCGCTTCAAGCGCACCGACACAACGGACTCTCGATCATCGACACAGTCTCGATCCAAGTCTCGCCACAGGGCAAGCACTGGCACCAGAGGATTTTCCAGCGAAATCGCCTCAGAGACCAAGTCCGATGAGATCATTCGAAGTGTTGACCGCATCTTCACAAATACTGCAAACCTTTCTGGTGATGCCATGGTATTCTTCGCAAAGGCTTTGACTGAGGTGAGCTGGGATGAGATCAAGGTATCCGGCTCTAATGATTCCCCTCGCACATACAGTCTGCAGAAGATTGTTGAAATCAGTTACTACAACATGAACAGAATTCGTTTTGAATGGAGCAACATCTGGGAGGTTTTTGGAGAGCATTTCAACCGCGTTGGTTGCCACAACAACTTGAACATCGTCTTCTTTGCATTGGACTCACTCCGTCAATTGTCGATGCGATTCATGGAAATCGAGGAACTCGCGGGTTTCAAATTCCAAAAGGACTTTTTGAAGCCCTTTGAACATATCCTCGCGACTTCGAATAACCCAACCGTCAAGGACATGATTCTCCAATGCTTGATCCAGATGATCCAAGCCCGAGGAGATATGATCCGCTCGGGATGGAGGACCATGTTTGGAGTTTTCACTGTTGCCGCACGGGAACCCTACGAAGCCATCGTCAACCTTGCTTTTGAAAACGTTAACCAGGTGTATAAAACCAAATTTGGTGTTGTCATTTCACAGGGCGCTTTCACCGATTTGATTGTCTGCTTGACGGAGTTCTCGAAGAACCTCAAGTTCCAGAAGAAGGGTTTGCAAGCATTGGAATTGCTGAAGTCGATCGTTCCTACTATGCTGAAGACCCCCGAATGCCCTCTTTCCCAAAAGCGTAGCCCGCAACCATCTAGAAAATCTTCTGGTGGTGGCAAGTCGAGTAGCTCATCCCCTAGACGACCTCAGGCGAACACTTCGGTAGAGGAGGGTTACTGGTTCCCTGTTCTCTTCGCATTCCACGATGTTCTCATGACTGGAGAGGATCTTGAAGTGCGCTCTAATGCCTTGGAGTATTTCTTCGACACCCTTATCAAGTTCGGAGGAGGGTTCCCGCCCGAATTTTGGGACATCTTGTGGCGCCAACAGCTTTACCCAATCTTCATGGTTCTGCGTTCTCGCCCTGAAATGACAAACGCGCTCAACCACGAAGAGCTCTCAGTTTGGCTCTCGACAACTATGATTCAGGCCTTGCGCAACATGATCACTCTTTTCACCCATTACTTTAGCTCCCTAGAGTACATGCTTGATAGATTCTTGGAGTTGCTTGCGCTTTGTATTTGCCAGGAGAATGACACCATTTCTCGCATCGGCAGTAATTGTCTGCAGCAAATGATCTTGAAGAATGTCGACAAATTTAACAAGCAGCACTGGACAAAGATTGTTGGCGCTTTCTGTGAACTCTTCGAGCGGACCACAGCCCACCAGCTGTTCACGGCGGCGGCCATCAACTCGACTGCCACGCTGTCTCCACCAGAGGCTGAGTTCGTCACTCCTGCCAGCTCTCCGTTGCCTGAGGGTGTCGCAGAGGAGCAGAGCAAGACTCCGAAGATAAATGGTGCCGATGATGCCAGCACCGGATCCGATGCTGATACCGAGTCTGTGCACCACGGACTTCCATCAAAGGTCAACGAGGAAGATTTCCGGATATCCCAATCACCGCAAGTGACCCTGGAGGAGTTCAAGCCAAACACAACCCTCCAGCAGCAGCCTGTCGTAGTAACGGCTGCCCGAAGACGCTTCTTCAACCGCATCATCTCTCGATGCGTCCTGCAGCTCCTCATGATCGAGACAGTCAACGAACTGTTCAGCAACGAGGCCGTCTACACTCACATTCCTTCACTTGAGCTTCTGCGCCTGATGTCTCTTCTGAAGCGCTCCTTCCAGTTTGCTCGCCGCTTTAATGACGACAAGGAGCTCCGAATGCGACTATGGCGCGAAGGTTTCATGAAGCAGCCACCAAATCTCCTCAAGCAGGAGAGCGGCTCGGCTGCCACCTACTGCTCCATCCTCTTCCGCATGTATGCCGATAACGACCCCGAGCGCCGCAAGAGCCGCGACGACGTCGAAGCCGCCCTTGTCCCCCTGTGCAAGGATATTGTCAGCGGGTACACTGCTCTTGAGGAGGAGAGCCAGCAGAGGAATATTGCAGCCTGGCGGCCTGTTGTCGTTGACGTCCTCGAGGGGTATGCTTCGTTCCCGGAGGAATCCTTCAAGGCTCGTATTCCTGACTTCTACCCAATGACTGTTGACCTTCTCGGCAAGGATCTGACGCCAGATCTACGCTCTGCGCTTCTTCTGGTACTGCGGAGAGTTGGAGAGGTGGGCCTAGGAATTGACGGCCTCGCCAAGATCGGTAGCAAGAGGAGGGAGAGCATGGTCAGCAATGCGGATGAGACTTCCAGAGACCACCACGAGGCTGCGGCACGGAGAATGCTGTAGACGGCGTTCCTCTCGCAGGGGAGAAACGGGCGTCATGGCGGAAGCATTCTTATGGTGTTCAAGGGGATAAACTGTCAGCGTATGTGTGGAAATATACATGTTAGGTTTACAAAAAGCTCGTTCTGCCAATTCTGGTCTCTGTCTTCAATTCGGACTGTCGAATCAGGAAATGTTACAATATGCTGATGATGATTTCTATATCTGTACATATTCTTCTTTTCTTTTCTTATTCATTAAAAGACTGGGCTTGCTTACAATTTCCCCCCATCCCTTGTAGGTTTACCGTACATGCCATGCCTCTGCTTACTTGATTCCTTATATCATTCTATTCGACCATGAAAAAGCTTCGTGATGTACTCTCTCAGCGGCTCGGCCTCCTCCTCGATTGTACGATCTGGGAGCCCCCTCAATGCGGCCCGAAGCACGGTGTCGTTCTTGGCAGCTGTTCGAATCAGAGCTCCAACCTCCTCATCCACGATGTCAGAGCGCGTCTCAGCCACTCGCATCACACTAACCAACGTCTCAAAGAAGTCGACCAGGTTGAGATGGACCAGCACATCATCGTAGTCGATCATCTTGAGCGACGCCCAGTAGAGGAGACTCTCCCGGCCAAAGATCAAAGGGGCGGATACGTCGATGAGGGGGTCGAGGTTGAGAGCCGCCAGGCGCGGCAGCAGACGGAGCAGGCGGCCCTGAGAGAGCGTGACCTGGTGGGTGGTGCGCTCGTCCGAGGGCGAGCAGTACTGCGGGAAGAGGGAGAGGATGGGGCGGCTCCCGAAGATGAGCTTCCAGAGGCGCGCGTAGCCCGGCGTGCGGCGTCTGCGGACGAGCTCCTGGGTGGTGCTGTCGGTGGCGGAGGCGAGCGGCTGGGGAGGGGGGGCGACGACGTCGCAGTCGACTTCGAGGAGGTCGCCGAGGACTTTGGCGGCCTTCTCGGCCACGCCGACGTTGTCGGTCGAGAGCCACGCCTCGACGAGCTCCTCGATGACCTCGGGGAGGGTGCTTAGGATGGCGGCGTCGCTGGGGGTGGCGGCGCCTTTGTGGAGGATGGCGAGGGCGAGGTGGTTGGCGCCCGGGAGGGGTGACTGGAGGGCGGTGATGAGGGATGGGGGGTCGGCGACGGTGAGTGTGCGGGCGAGGGAGAGGGGGGAGAGGAGCTTGATGGTCAGGGTGAGGCAGGGAGTTGGGTCTTGGGTTGTGGACTTGAGGATTGTGGTGAGCGAAGGGAGGAAGCTGGGGAGGAGGGGTGGGATATTGTCCTCTGGGTGGATGTTTAGCTTGGATATTGGGAGGAGTTTGACGAGTAGATGAACGAGGGGATAAGTAAAAACGTACCTGTGAGCTGGAGCTCAACATCATCGAAGAGCTTGGCGTTGAAGGGAAGTGTGTGGTCGTAGACGAGCTCTTGGAGATGGGCCTGGAGCTCTTCGAGGCCTGAGATTCGCACGTTCTCCATAGTGGGCTGTGGTACTATTCTCTCTGACATGGTCTTCCTCGCTGGATAATGATGGATGCAGTGTCACTTGCGGTGAAATATCCAACCTTGGAAATTGCGGCGATGACAATGCGATGGCTATGGAAGAGAGGCGTCCTTGTATACGACAGCCAAGCAGGCAGGGTAGCTCTCGTAACTACCAGCGATCGTCGTCGCACGCTGGAGCCTACAAGCCCGGTAGGTATTGCTCAGTGCATGCAGTACCTGGAGAGTTTCAGCGGGCCATGCATGCAGCGGGGCAACGTCACAGCGGAACAATTCCGGTTTACAGTGAGCAATCGATCCACTGCGCAACCCCACGGCAGCTCTAAAAATTCACCGGGCAGACTCACACCCGTCGTCAACTTGACTGCCACCACTCGCCCCAGCCATTGCTCGATTCCTCAATACCAACGGGCACCCATAGCAGCTGTCGCCGCAAGAATGTCTCGAGGAGGCCGAGGAGGTGGCCGCGGTGGTAGGGGAGGAAGAGGCGGAGGCGGCGCTGGCCGCCCGGTCCTGTCATGGGACAATGGCGATGAACCCGATGCCAGGCCATCCGAGCTCTTCCCTGTGAGTCTCCCCCGTCCGATCGAACTTGGCGCATTGGTGCAGCGACATGGGGAGAACCGAAACTGACCTGTATAATCCAGCCATACACCGTCCCGACTCCTACGGCGCTGAATCCATTTGAGAAAGACTCCGTCAAGCACTTCCTCCTGTTGCGACATCAGATCCACGCCTCCTCATTATACACCTCTCGCCGCACCCTAGACAGTGACCCCCTTGCGCCTCGGAAGATGTATCGCCAAGAGCAGACCAATGCTCACTACGGCGTGCAGAGCCGCGCCTCGCAGGACCCTTTCACCTCCGTCCCGACCTACGGTCAGCGATTCGTCCGTGAAGAGCGGGCCCTGCCCGACTGGTCCCGGCGGGTGATATGCAGAGAGCTCTTCCCGGAGGACATACTCGACGTGATCGAGCCGCAGGGCGAGCGCAAGAAGCGGAAACTGGAGCTGACCAGCGTGAACGCCCTTCCAAACGCAGAGCAGGCCTTTGGTTTGGTGGCGAACGGGGAAGAAGGGGAGGACGGCGCAAGAGGAGGAGATCTACTCGAGAGGTTGGACGCCATCCCCCATGAGGAAGGAGAGGAGGAGCCCGAGGGAGAAGAAGAGGAGGAAGAGCAGGACGAAGTGTACGATGACGAAGACGCCGGTGATTATGATGCCGAGAACTACTTCGACAACGGTGATGAATACGGCGACGACTATGGCGATGATGGAGGAGACGGCGAGGGAACATATTAATTTGACGCTGGTTTACTGTCTGGAGTTAAAAAAAATTAGGAACGGGCATTGCGAATGACTCAAATTTAGAGATGCGGCGATGGTTGCTTGATACCCACAACTCTCCAGAGCTGTACATTACAAATAACAAAAACATACTCTCCGGAGAGATCTTCTTCACTTTACACATCTTTCAGAGGTTTGGAGACAAGCTTCCCAGCGCAGGATGGCTCGACCGGAGAAGCCCAGGATATGTGATTACGGTCGGCTCAGCTCATTCTACCTAAATACATGTGTCATAACAAACAACCGTCCATCGTTCCGCTGGCCAGGTTTCCCCTGGTTTTCTATGCCTTTACACCAAAGAGAGATAGATTAAAAATGAGTTAAACAAAATTCCATGTTTTCTTTTCTTGCCAAGTACACCTCAAGCTGCCCCCAAAAGCAAAATACGCCTTATGCTGCCATGGCCATTCCGTACGCTCCGGAATCTAGAATACCGGCCTGGAGCCTGGAAAGCCTCTCTCTTGTATCGGCAATCTGTCCGGCCTGGTTGATGATGGCTGTGCCCATCTCGCGTAGCGCCAGAAGGACCTGGCCGAGCTGGTCTGATACGCCCGAGTCGCCGTTGGTACTGGCCTGGCGATCACGCAGGGCCCGGATCTGCTCGTACAGTCCGTTCTCGACGCCGGGCATGTCGCGCTCAATCTCGGCGCGGTACTCGTCGATCCGGCGCTTGTACTTCTCCACGTCATCGCAGATGCGGTTGAAGTAGGTGATGAGGTCCTGGGCATCGGCGTGGGTATCAGAAGCACCGGCGGCTGTGTTGGCGGCAGGGCTGTTGGCGGAGGTGGCAGATGCAGGGGTGGCGAAGAGACCGGTCTGGTGGTAGTGAGCTGGGAGTTTGAGGTTGTCTGTGGCCTTGAAGGAGAGCTGCGCATCGGTGATGTTCTTCTTCGTCATGTCCTGGAGGACCTTGACGGCCTGGATGTCGCTGTTGAGAGCGACCTGGACGGTGCGGAACTTGGACTCCACAAACTTGACGTCGCGGCCGAGCTGTTCGATGTCTCGTTCGTGCTGGGGCATGAATTCACCGATTTCGTCCTTCATCTTGATGACCCTTGTGATTCCCTTGTCGATCAGGGCGATTTCGTCCTGAATTGGTTTTGCGAGGTCGTCGAATCGCGTTCGAGGCCGGATGTTATCATAGTTAATCTGGACAGCTGAAATCTGATTCGTCGACTGGTTCGGGATTTGTTGTTGTGGTTGTTGCTGCTGGGGCTGTGCCTGAGTTTGGCTGTTCATGGTTGTTAGTATAACCAGGTAGATAAGAAGAGAAAGCCATGGGAGAAGGATGTGCTCACAAGAACCCGCCCGTTGTAGGCTTTGCCTGGGATTGGGCAAAGAGGTTGTTGGAGGCCGCGGGTGCGCCAAAGAGGCCACCACCCGCCGCTGGTTGCTGTTGCGCTGGTTGCTGAGTATTCGCACCTCCAAACAGGCTGCCTGTTGCTTGTGCCGGCTGGTTGGTAGTGGCAGCTGCACCACCGAAGAGTCCGCCGCCGGCCGCTTGCGCTGGTTGTTGTGTCGCTGTTTGATTTGCTGCCCCGAACAGACCGGGAGCTCCAGTGTTGCCCGTGGCAGCTGTCGGTGCTGCTCCAAATAGACCGCCAGTTCCAGTGTTCGCTGCGGGAGTCGCCGTTGCTCCTCCGAAAAGACTTCCTGCTGGCTTTGGCGCCTGAGCTGCGCCCCCGAACAGACCACCAGCTGGAGCGCTGCCGGCGGTAGCTGGTTGCGCCCCAAATAGACTCGGCTTCTGCTGTTGAGCTCCCCCAAACAGTCCACCGGCTGTAGCCATTGTGCCTCCCCCTGCTGCTGCTGTCGCTAAAGGTGTGTTGGTTGTTGCGCCGCCGAAAAGACTACCGCCTGCTGCAGGCTGCGTGGAAGGTGTAGATCTGTAAGATGGGTGGTGCTTGGTCAGTAGCTGCAGGGCTGGCTCCACGCGTGAAGTTTTGTCGATGGGTCGGCAAGACTTACAGGTTTGCGGTGTTGGTGTTGATGGTGAGCCCACCGGGGCCACTGGCCGAACGCGCCAAAGACATGGCGCTAACCAGACCGCAAAGCTACCTGCTAGGAAAAAAACACAGGTGCTTTATTAGACTGTCTCAGTGATTGGGCCAGCTACTCTGTTTTGGGGGGGATCCAGGCGTGTGGAGCTCAAGGTTTGACAAAGAAATAATTTGGCTGGGTTTGTTTGGACGCCGGTTGCTGTTTATTGGTTGATGCAGCTTCGGTGAGTGTCGGTAAGCTTCGGTGAGTCGTCCAATCGTAGCGGAGAAATGTCGGCGCGCGACTGTCACCTTAGAAGCTGCATCCAACTGCATCATACCAAGATCAAAGAAAAAACGACAGCTCCAGCTACATTGTGCCAACGCGAAGAGTTACGAAATATAGAGCTGAATCGAGATTAATTACATCATGGATATCGAGGACGATGATGATTTCTACGCTCCCGAGGAGCCTACTGTGCCCACCGAGGAAAAGGACCTTCCTTCGAAAGCCGACGAGCTTGAGGAAGGCGAAGAAGAGGACGAGGGTGCTGCTATGGACGAGGACGAAGATGACGACTCAGTGCGTATTTATCAGCAGATCAGAAATTTGTTGTTCATCTACTTATACATCAAAGGACATCGACATCATTACAGAACGAAAAGATGGCACAACCGCAGCTCCCCCATCGTACGTCGTCCGACTCTCCTCCGCGACTGAACCGATTTTACTGACAATCGCCCCGCGATAGACAATCAAAATACAGCGACATAAGAAACATCCCACAAAGGACAACGTCAGACGACCCATCTACGAAATCAGCGCCAGTCAAGAAGGAGGGCGCGACCAGGTCGAGCGTCGCCAACATTGGCACACCCAGCGCCGACAAGACGTCAGAGGCTGCCTCGAAATCCACAATCGACATCAACGCGAACCCAATATACCCGGCTGCTGGTAAGCCAATCACCCATGTCAACATTGACGAAGGTTCGTTGCGCGCAGGTCTTCCATGGGCAGCTTGGCAAGATACAAACTAACAATGTTTGGGTTACAGACCTCCCCGAGAACGAGAAGCCCTGGCGGAAACCAGGTACCGATATCAGCGACTATTTCAACTACGGCTTCGACGAGTTCACATGGGCTCTCTACGCGGCAAAGCAGGACAACGTCCGTGGCGAGTACGGCGCCGATGCGTTTGCAAACTCGAGCAAGAAGATGATGGAGGAGATGAACAGCATGATGATGATGGGAGGCATGGGCAACATGGGAGGCAATGCCGCAGCAGCACAAGGAGGTGGTGGCGGCGGCGGGGTATCGGGCATGCCTGGAATGGAGGGCATGCCCCCAGAGATGCAGCAGATGATGCAGCAGATGATGGCGTCGGGTATGGACGGGAACCAGATGGATCCGGCTCAGATGGCTGCCATGTTCTCTGGAGCAGGGGCGAGTGCTGGAGGACAGGGCCAGAATTTCGGCGCTGGTGGATATGGAGGCAACCAGGGCGGATATGGGTTTGACCAACAAAATATGGGCGGTGGAGGTGGAGGACGGGGTGGATTTAGTCGAGGACGGAGAGGCCGCTGGTAGAGAGTATGCATAATGAAAATGAAAACGACGCTTGCCTCGCCAGCTCGGGTATTGAAGTGGTTCGTTGGATCAACTGATCTGGTCTTGACGCGTAACCTTCAGCCGCATTCTCCATTGCATCTCACCAGATATGGCCTCACCACGGAATTGATCATCCAGATGGGCATTTCGGTCATTGTAAGACCACTGCTCCCCGCTCCTTGATTGCCATACACCAGGATATGGTTGTATTCCATTCACCCTTGGTTATGCACCCCGCGTTTCCCCCACGATATTTGCATCTCCAATCCCCTTGAGCCGGACATGACAAACATCTACCGTAGGGAATATGATGTAGAGTGTAGATGGTGAGAGTATATGATGGTGTAAAAACTACTCAATCTTCGAGTGTTCTCGCGGTTATATTTGACTATTGATACTATCCAACTTGAGCTTGGGAATGTCAAAAGAAGCCCCTTTCACTAACATGGAGAATAAAAAGATTCACAGAGATACGGTTGGCGAGAAGAATGAACTGGACATTATAGACTCTAGTCATGTCGAGGCCTCGGTCAAAGCCGAGGATGGTGCCTATAGTGACCCCTTGAGCGATGCAGAGAAGAAGAAAATCATGTAAGAATTTTCCGCCTAAACACATTTCATTTCTGTCCCTTGAACTGGAAGTCTGCTGATCGTGGCTCATCTCTAGACGACGAGTTGATATGAGACTGCTACCAATACTCGGGGTCATGTATTCGATATCTCTCATTGACCGTATAAACCTCGGTCTTGCCCTCGTTTCAGGGATGCAAGAAGGCCTTGAGCTAGCTGTTGGCAGCCGATATACCATTATTGTGATGGTATTCTTTGTCGCCTACATGTATGTAATTCTGAATCCGAGCCAGCAGATGTGATGAAATGTGCTAACTGATACAGTATATTCGAGATACCAAGCGTAAGAGCCGAGCTGAATGGGACCAGAAACATAGTCTTAACAGGAGCTGACATGTTTGATATCTCCTAGAATCTTATTTTACCGAAGGCTGGGCCCGCAAACTGGTTGTCCTTCTTAGGTTTCTCGTTTGGAAGCAGTCTGATTGGCATGGGCTTTACCCGTCACTGGGAACTATGGCCTTGTGTCGAGCTATTCTGGGGATGTTCGAAGCTGGTTTCCTTCCGGGTACGTCCTGCTTTGCTGTGAAGTGCCTCGTTAGAAAATTGACCAATAGTACAGGATGCACATATCTCATCACCTGCTGGTATACGAGGTATGAAGTCGGCAAGCGAATGTCAGGGTTCTGGATCCTCTCTGTTATAGCATCAGGCTTCTCTGGAATACTCGCTTATGTCTTGTCTCTGCTCAAAGGACGACATGGCCTCAATGGCTGGAGGTGTACGGATATTCAAGAGCCTCTTCTCCTACCCGAAGGGTTTTTGGGACACCAGCTTACTTGTCTCGTAGGGATCTTTATCGTAGAAGGTGCCATCACCTGCGGCGTGTGCCTCCTTGGAAGACTGATCATCGTGGACTTTCCGTCCAGGGCGGATGACTTCCTGTCGCCCGAAGAAAAGGAGTTTGCCATGCGCCGCATAAACCAAGATCGTGGCGACGCGGAGGAGGACAAGGTGGAGCTCAGGACGGTTCTTCATCATTTGAAAGACTGGAAGCTGTACGGCTGGGCTTTCAATCTCATGGCCTCGACTCTCCCAGGTTACGCGTACGCTTACTTTCTCCCCATCATCCTTCGCGATGGCATGGGGTTTTCTACAACCAAGGCTCAGCTCCTGACTGCGCCTCCAAACATATTCGCTGCCGTTGTGACCTACATCTCGGGCTGGATAAGCGACAAGTATAAGGTGAGAGGGCCGGTGATTGCAGTACACCAAGCAATAACAGCCATCGGAATGCTCGTCACGGCGTATGGAAAGGCACCAGCTGCTCGGTACTTCGGGACATTCTTAGGTCTCTGCCACTTCCTTTCCGCCTCAGATTGAAACCTAAAGTGCGTTGGAATATGCTGACAACTCGTCTAGGGATCGGTTTCTTCCAGTATGGCATTCCAGGGGTACTAACCTTCCAGGCGAACAACATCACGTCGCATTCCAAAAGGGCTGTTTCTGCTGCTACGTGCATGATGGGAGGCGGCGTGGGTGGCATCATCGCGGGAGTGGCATTCATGGCTGGCGAAAGCCCCCATTACACAGTGAGTCAAGTATACCCTCTCTCCGAGGTTGCGTGCCATGATATTGACCTATCTGAACTTTTCTACAGACTGGAGTATGGACAGCCTTTGCCCTGTCCATGGGAAGTATAGCTGTTATTATTATCACAGATCTTCACCTTTGGAGATGTAACAAGGCTGTTCGGGCTGGCAAGGCTGTCAATGAAGGAATGGAAGGGTGGATGTATACGCTATGATGGAAGACCATAAGTTCCTCTGATGTTTGGTGTCAACACAAGACCAAGGCGAAGGGAGGCGTGTGCTTTTTCATCCGGACCTGGACATGCGACAGTGGAGGCACGAGGCCGTCAGCGCAAGGCAAAACGATGGGCTAGCCCTGCACGCAGAGGCAACTTGTAGTTCTAAATAGGGCTCGAATGGACTTACAGAATGAGCTGGAAGCTGCCTGTTTCAGATAAACGAGCGGATCCGAATCAGTAGGGGTCCAGCCGAATCCGCGGGGTTTGGACATCAGCACGTCTGGTATAGGAATAGCACCAATGTTCCAGCCATGAGCAGATACCTGAAACGGGGAAACTTGGCAGAGCTCGCCTTCTCGAGACCCCAAAGACTGAGGTCCCCGGCGGCTGTCCCAGATAGGATGGTGATAGTGCAACGTTACGGCCCCCTGGTCCTTTGGAACGCGGACTAGTCTGATTACTATGCAGGCCCAACCACTGGGTGCCATTGATTTATATGGGAGAGACAAAGATGGCAGTTCAGATGAAATGGTGCCTGTCGCAAGGCATGGGAGTGGATTCTGCGGCCCGCATGCTGCAGATCTTCGTCATGTAAGTCACCCTAGATGAAGTAATGCAGAATCATCTGATGATAAGCCCTTAATTACTTGCATGTGTATGAGGAAGGGTACAGTCGTATGTGACTAATTACGTATAACGGGCTTAAAAGTGTCTCGAGGTTTGTAGATGGAAACTACAACTTCATGGAAACGTTCCTCTGCCAAATCAGAGCGCGGTGAAGTTGGGGCTGGTCGTTAATTAATATCGATCAGTCCGGGCTCCGTTGATTTCATCTATCTGGAGCTTTATTTTCCATTCGGAACATTCCAAGTAATGAATTATGCGCATATACATATCCACACGGGATCATTCCGAACCGGGAAGCTCCCAAGGATTCTGGTCCGGCTTCGTTGGGCTGACAGGGCTATACTAGGCTCCTCATGAAATCACCGGCATGTCGGCATACTAGCTCTAGGTGGGTGGAGGTGGGTTGAGGTGGAGTGAGCTTGGTCTTTTGGCAAGGGATGTTGCTTATTACCCTTCCCACGTTACAGCACCGATTTCGAGACACATGGGATATGGCTCAACAAGAGACTGTACGTCACTGCATTCTGCGAGATTCGATATCAGCCGAAGACTAGAAAGCCCTTTCACCACATCTGATCAGCTGAGATCTAAGATTTCGTCTACCTATGTCGTACATATCGTTAGTACTGGGGTGAGGATGAGGGATGGGGATGAAACGAAACTCGATACTTGACGTGGCATGACATTCACTATTCGAATCACCCCAAGGGCTCAAGAATCGCCATTCGCCGACTTGATTCAGCAGGGTTAAACGTTTCCGATCCTCACTGTCCTTCTTCTTTTGCGATCGAATGTCCATACCTGGTTGCAGATCACTTCCAATAGGGATGGCACACGGTATGCTCAAGGCTCTCAGGTTCACTCCAGTGTTGTGATCCAACGTAACTCCATCTTCTGATATCTTTCCCATCACCCCACTCTGCCATGTCTGGGATAGACTGTGTTAGGTAGGGTAGGTAGGTGTAAGAGAGGGACAGAGCTTGGTTGCGCCTCTCCACTGGCTCGCCACGTACAATCCTGCTCACCAAAGATCTGACTCGAGGTTAGGCCAAACCTGGATGCTCCATACGCACACCTAAAGGCAAGCTGAGCCGATGATGGGTGTGCCAGGTCCACACCTGACCACAGTGGCCAGCTCCTAGCTCCCCTCTTTCTGTAACATCGAGCTTGGATGAGCATGTTACATGTTACCGTCCCACGAGATGTCGATGATATGGTCTCTGGAGGAGAGGAGGCGGGCCAAGATTTTGCATATAAGACGATCCGAGATCCCTCCAGATTCTGTCTTGGAAGAACCATCCACCCATCCACACAGTCGACTAACCAACCAGTCCTTCCTTTCTTCACAACACCCAGTTGCTGGCTCAACTTCCATTCCTTATACCCAAGATGGCTGGATCTCTTCGCTCTTTGGCTTCGGCCGTCGGCCTTCTCGCCGCTCTCCCTCTCGCCCTCGCAGGCTTCTCCTCCACGTCGAAGTCGAACGTCGCCGTTTACTGGGGCCAGAACTCGTATGGCCAGGGCAGCGGCCCCTATGTCCAAGAACGGCTCAGTTACTACTGCCAGAGTAAGTAGCTCTCGTCCACTGCCTTTTGCTGAAAGCGCACAGCAGCTAACAGAGCCCATAGACACCGACATTGATGTAAATTTGCATGCCCTCCCCTTGTTCACGGTGGGGTAGAAGACTGACACGACCATAGATCATCCCCATCGCCTTTCTGACCAGCCTCAACCCCCCTGCAATGAACTTTGCCAATGCAGGAGACAACTGCACCACATTCCCTGAGGATCCGAGCCTTTTGGACTGCCCCCAGATCGAGTAAGTTCCACCCTTTTACTGCCCATCCAACCAGCAAGGTTTAGCTAACCAGTCGTTCCAGGGAGGATATCATCACCTGCCAGGCCGCAGGCAAGACCATCATCCTCTCCCTTGGCGGCGCAACCTACTCGGGCGGCGGCTTCTCCTCGTCCACCGACGCCGTAGCCACCGCCCAGAACCTCTGGGCCATGTTCGGCCCAACCGGCTCCAACAGCAGCACCCGCGCCAACGTCCTCCGCCCCTTCGGCTCCGCCGCCGTCGACGGCTTCGACTACGACTTCGAGTCCGCCACAAGCAACATGGTCCCCTTCGGCGTCGAGCTCCGCCGCCTCATGGACGCCGCCACCTCGTCCACCGGCAAGAAGTACTACATCACCGCCGCGCCCCAGTGCCCCTACCCGGACGTCGCCAACCAGGAGGCCCTCGCGGGCGGCGTCGCCTTCGACTTCATCATGATCCAGTTCTACAACAACGCCTGCGGCGTCACCAGCTTCGTCCAGGGCGCCGCGACCCAGCCCGCCTTCAACTTTGACGTGTGGGACACCTGGGCCAAGCAGACGAGCAAGAACCCCAACGTCAAGGTCATGCTCGGCGTCCCTGCCAACACGGGTGCCGGGGCTGGGTACGCCGAGGGCGCGCAGCTCTCCGCCGCGATCAAGTATTCGGCGCAGTTCGACAGCTTTGGCGGCGTCATGATGTGGGACATGTCGCAGCTGTACGCCAACAGCGGCTTCCTCGACCAGGTGACTGGCGCACTCTGATTTGGAGATTCGAACTCTGGATGAGTTTCTGTATATATGATGCTGACGCTTTGATCGCCCCGGACCGTCCTTCGGGAAGGGACGCGGACATGCTGGATGTTTCCGCTCGTTTATGAGAAAACCCTCTTCTTCACCTGTATATACTTTTTGAAGGACTGGGGTACATATATGAAATGCACATTTGATGTCAAAACTGCTTGCTTACTGTTGTAAGGTCGGCGAGAGAGGTGATGCTGTAGTAGTCAAGTGTCTGTGGATTGCGATGTTCACGCTGCATCGCGCCTGAGAGAAACATCAATATTCATTAGGCAACTAACATCTAACCAGGGTATCAATGGGACAGCCGTTCATCATGGGGTCCCGCCACAACATGCCAGCTTTTCAATATAAATGTACACCTTTACCCGCCACTTTGTCCAATACTCCAGCCCGCCTCCCGTCGCTATGGGAAGCCAAAGAGATATAATGCACCGTGCAAGCCACAAATTCCAAAGTAAAAACCAGAAACCAACAAACAGATGAATGGAAATAGTTGCATGCATGCTATGCTATGCATGTTCAATACCAAGGATGATGGCCGTTTAGGTGGGAATGAAGTGCTGAGCATCCTCGCGCTGTTGCTCAAAGGACTGAGAGAAAGCAGCCAAGCCGACAACAATTCCGACAGCCATGAAAATGACGGAGATGATGGACCAGATAACACCCCAGCAGCGAGAGGAACCACCATAGCGCTTGGCGAAGACACTGGCGTCGGAAGAGTTGACCTTGCGGAGGATCAGATCGTCACAGATATCCCAGATGCTGTAGAGTGATGACATGACACCGATGAAGAGCACGACGAAGCGGAGGGCCTCGGCGTGGTTGATGAACCAGCATCCAACAAGGAAGCCAACAGCGAGTAGGATCGTAAGAATGGTGAGCCAATCACGCTTGCCCCACCACAGGGTGAGGAGGAAGCACACGCCGAGAGCCAGACTGACAATCTTGCTGGCGTTGATATTGAAGCCGCAAATAATCAGGACGGCGCCGATAAGGGATGAGCCCAAGTAACCGGCAGGCAGAGTGATGGCGCTGATGCCGCCAGAGAGATGGGTGACACCACCCTCATTCGGGTCCAGGCTGATAGACTTGACCTTGCCGCCAGTCAGGATGGCAGTAATGGCATGTCCAAACTCATGGAATGCAATGACAAGCATCTGGATAGTCTTGTCAGTACTTGATTGCTTCAGCGTTGGGGGTCGTAGTCATCAACCGTGATTGATGGTGTGATGTCATCCTATGCATCTGAGGCTTACCTTGAAGGGCCAGAGGATCATGCGAAGATACGGGACGTTCCAGAGAATAGCAATGCCGACGACATAGGCGGCGATGACACCCAGGGTAATAGCCTGGGTGCGGTTGACATTCTGCAGGTCTCGCGACTGGAGATGCTGCTCTTGGAGGGCGACGGTGGCCAGCGGGGCGAAGGCCGCATCAAGTGCCGGTGCCATGGCGGATGAGATGATGGACAGATGAGCGGCTGTCGTCAAGTCCGGCGGGTGTAACTAGAGCGAGAGTCGGGGGTCAGCCAAGCCAAGAACGAGTGACTTGAGAGCGAACGAGCTGAAGACCGGACAGGCTGCTGGCTGAGTGTTTGGGGGTTGGCAAGGCAGAGAAGTCTCAAGCAACGCAAGCGAAACAGAAGAGTTGAAGAAGTATGTAGGTGAAAGAGGATGATCTATTATTACAAACGAGACGATCACACGCAACAAAGAACAAGGAAGGAATAATCGGGAAGAGGCTGCGCGTCCAGTTGTGGCTGTGTCATGTGTCTGGTGTCTCGTATTTGCTCTGTCGCGCTGCAGCAATGGCTCAGTGGCTGACGTGTTCAGCACACCACTGAGGAACCGCCCTGTAAGCGCTGAAGAACAGACTCCAGCACTAAAAAGAGGTCTAGTACCTGTGCGGGAGCGTCGTCATCGCTGGGCAACTACCAGGGACACCCCCTGTCGGGCTTCCCAGTGCTGTCCGTCCCCTGTTGATCATTCCAGCCCGGCGGCTTCACCCGCTGCTGCGTGTGTGATTGGCTGCGAGTTTAAAGTTCTTCTCCCGAAAATACCTGCTGAAAGAGACTGTTCCAGATCATGCCTTCATCTTCGTGATCGTCATACTCTATTTCCTCCATGGATGCAGTTCCGTGGCATCGGCCACACAGTCGTTGGCGAGGTGCTCTTAAATGCCTTCATCCCCTTTATCATGAAGTACTTAGTTAATACAAGGAACGGAACCAACATCATTTCGCAGCCCTAAGTACAGGGATTGATTCTTGGACAGTCTCCATACACTGCGCCGATCCCTCTTCTCTAGCAACAGGCAGTGGCAGCATGGACAGCCAAGCCTGGAGCCATGAGACAGCTCAAATTTTTTCGTCCTCTCTCATCCCATCTTACCAGCGTAATCACCCGTGAAGACTGAATATGGCCACCGACTACGAGAAGCAGAGTTACTGGCACGATCGGTTCGCCTCCGAGACTTCTTTCGAGTGGCTCGTGTCATCTAAACACTTCATCTCCGTCATCGAGCCTCATCTGGCTCAGCTGCCTCTGTCAAGCCGTATTCTGCATCTTGGTTCCGGCACCAGCGACCTGCACAATCACTTCCGTTCCCGAGGACTGCTGAATGTCACAAACCTCGACTTTGAGCCCCTGGCGGCTGAACGGGGCCGAGACCTGGAGCAGAAGGCCTTTGGCGATGTGCGCATGGACTACGCTGTCGCTGATGCTACCCGCCTCGTTGATGAGCCCATCATGATTGGCTCTCATGGTGGTGCTGCCGGGGAGGAGGACCAAAATGTGACCCCCGCCAAATTCGACCTCGTTGTTGACAAGAGCACCGCTGACGCCGTTGCATGTGGCGGGGACTCGGCAATCTTGAAACTCGCTGAGGGTATCAAAGAGTGCCTGTCCAAGGATGGTGTATGGGTCTCACTTAGCTTCTCATCAGACCGTTTCGAAGTTTCTGGACTGCCTTTTCACGTCGAGGTGATGGCCAAGGTTCCCACGCGAAAGCTGAAACCAACAGATCCAGACATATACCATTGGTGCATCCTATTGCGAGCAATGTAGGCACTTCAAGTTGAACAGCTGTACCGCCCATTACTATCATTGAAACGGAGAGGAGATCTATTTGGCTTCTAGCTTCAATCTTCAATGGTAAAACTCAACAAGCATCATTTTGTCTCTGGCCCCTGGTACCAATCAACACCCACCAGCATCTCCCTTACACCCCAGCCGCTTTGCCCACGCTTCCTTCGTCCAGTTCCACTTCATTTCGCTGGCACAGTACTGAATTCGACCCTCCACAGCTTTGGCACTCATCTTGTCCCAGACTCTCCAGCCAGGATAGCTTTTTCCTTCTGGTTCGCAACACCCTTTCATGTGGTAGAACCCCGACAGACATGCCTGATGCGGCACTCGCCTTCCGAGTCCTCTCCGTCGCAACGCCAATTGAACTCTTGAAGAGTGGCCGCAGAGTCGGCACGCAGCCGCAGATGACACCTAGATTCACCTCGACGGCTGTCCATGTCCACATCCGGAAACCGTCCCAAGTTACGTCGTATGTTTCATCCACCACTTGTATCACCCAATATGTCCGCATGCAGCCCGCGATGATCACGATGATGCCACACGAGAAGATGATCAAGAGGACGAATCGTTGGCTGAAGGGGAGGCGGAGGCGGGACAGGGTGGGGAAGGGAAGTACGTAGACGAGGATATCCGACATGACCGCAATAATGGATTGTGCTCTGGCAAGATACTTGTCAGCCCTTCATTTCAACATCTCCATTGTGGGGTAGCTGCTTAAATCGAGAAGTCGGCCAAACAACAAAGAAGGGGGAGAGATACATACATCAGCGGCGGTCCCTCATTTATGCACTTTCCCCCGCTGTGCATGTCCCAATACGCGCTTGGAGGTCTGGTATGACGAGCGTTAGCATCAAAAAGGGATGGGATGAAGGGGCAAGCCGATATTCTTACATGCATTGTGTCCATAGCGCGATCAAGAACACCATGATCAGTGTCACCACCAGCGGGATCGAGCATTGGGTCAGTCGTCTGAACCACGAGTCAAGTGGTGCTATGCGCAAATATGAAATGAGTATAGATGACTTGACGAGCCCGGAGCCAATGACGAACAGCGTTTGCGCGGATATGGACGCCTTGCGCCCCAGAGTAGCCTGCGATGGAGTCAGATCCCAGACGTGGATGTTCCACCCATACAGCTCGGTTGCCAGGATCACTGTCACCGTGACCCCGACACCTATAACCTTTCCTTTGTCGTCAGCACACATCCCAAGTCAGCTTGGCTCTCGGCCATTACAGGAAACAAGGGGGGGGTAAGTAGTACCATGGCAGTGAACATCAGCCAGTCATCCAGCCCGGCTCTTCGAACCATGACCGTCCTCACATACAACCTCGCCAGAACCGAGATGATTCCCAACGGACAGAATATCAGCTGTATGATGAGGAGTCCTGGACCCTGCCTCTCCGGGTTTTGATGGTCTGGCGCCGGCCATGACTCCAGGATTTCTTTAGGAGCGTCGCGCATGCTTGGCTGGGACTCTTTGTTCTCGTCAATGTTCCTCTGATCTGATTACCTCATATGAATATCATACGAGTTTCATCAATGGGCATGGCGGAGAGAGTCGTCTCTCTCTACAAAGAAAATGTACAAAAGCTGAATAGAATCAACCGGACTTCTACGAAAAGCATCAAGGATGTTGACAACTTGATCACATTGGACCCTGAAGTAGCCTTACGAATAGTCGAAAGACCCTCGGCGAATCTTGTTGGGGGTATGAGTCGATCCAGCGGAAACTAGGACTGGACCCTTCGCGAACTAGGAGACGGGCCGAACTGATTGGCCTTGTGGCTTTGACAGGAGCATCTTAGTTGGTAGATGTGATTGGGCTGTCTCCTGGAGAGGTTCTGGGCTGGAACTTTAAAGTGATCAATTCTTGG